ACTAAAATAAAAGGGGCCCCGGAGTTTGAGAAACACTGGGTTAAAGCATCAGGCTAGAAACTGGGAGGCTGTGAGTTCTAGTCCTGCCTTAGGCACAAAGCCAGCTGGGTGACCTTGGGCCAGTCGCTCCCTCTCAGCCCTGGAAAGGAGACAATGGCCAACCACTTCTGAAAAACCTTGCCAAGAAAACTGCAGGGACCAGTCCAGGCAGTCACCAGGAGTCAACACTGACTTGAAGACCCCCCCCCCACACACACAGCTCTACTGCCCACACTGCCTTTGCTCCCCTCTCAGGCTCCCCACCGTCGGTCCATTCCTCAGCCCTGGGCAGCAGCAACGTGGTGGCCAGTGGGAACAAGTACCAGGTCATTACGGACCTCAGCCAGTTTGAACCTCAAGATATCGTGGTGACTTCCTACAACTACTGCATTGTCATCCAAGCCGAGAAGGTAAGAAGGAGGGTCTTGGCAGGGCTGACGCATTCAGAGGGGATGGAAAGAAAGCAATCCCCCAGGTCCTGTTCCCACAACACATTTAAAACTGGGTCAGTGGAGGGGAGGAATTCATGCATGATTGGAATTTCAAAAAGGATCAGTTGCTCTGGTCAATAAATAGCCCTTCCACTTGTTAAAATTAGCTCCAAGCAGCACCGTCAGACACTCATGGCATGGGAATCCCTAAACCTGTCAATTTACCTGTGAACTGGCATCTCCTGCAGCAGCCAAGTGGTGTTAGCCTTACTGGTGCTTTTCTCATATTTGTGGGTCTTCTTGGACAAAGTGGACAAGACTTTCAAATTGCTGACGTTGCTCCAGTTAATGAGTTCACCGCTACTAGACCAGGGTTTCTCAATTTTAGCAACTTTAAGATGTGTGGACTTCAACTCCCAGAATTCCCCAGCCAGCCATGCTGGCTGGGGAATTCTGGGAATTGAAGTCCACACATCTTAAAGTTGCCAAGGTTGCAGAACACTGGACTAGACCAATAGGAAAGATTTGACTGGGTGGATGGGTGGCTCCGTTGTGTGTTGTGGGAATAGGGCCGCACAATAGCTGTCTTTCAGCAGCTTCAGTCACACCACACGTTAAACGTTGCATGAATTTCGGTTCAGGTTTTGGGTCTCTGGGCCTGAGTTTACATGTAGCACAATTCAGAACATTTTGTAACCAGGTTGAGCGTCATGTATGAATCCAACCACAGATATTTGCGTTAGGTAATCCAAACCACAGATGTTTGGAAACCAACCAGTTTCTAGAGTGAGTGAGGATAGGTGTGTGTTGTGGCGGTGCATGTGGGAGAGAAGAATGTGCAAACTTTCCCCAACACATTATTTTCTGTTACAGTTCCCCAGCTTTTTCCCCTCATAAGTTGTGTTCACATAACATGCTTACCCTGGATCCTGAATTAACCCATTTTCTGCTTTCACACCTCCTTCAGTCCTAAAGTAGCCAAACAGTCAGCTGCAAAAGACAAACCAGAGTTAACAACAATCCAACTTACAATGTGGAAATGTAATTTCTTTCCCTGACCTAAGGAGGTTGTGTGAACATGACATCTACAAATCAGCTTATTTTGCAACCAGAATATATTCCTCTTGCTTAAGTCCACTATTCGAATGATGGGGTGGCTCTTCCTGAGAATTTTCATACTACGTTTGCCCAAATCCCACCAATTGCCTAAGCTAACATAGAACAAATCGGTTTCTTGGTCTCAGTGCACAGTATGTTTTCAAACAACAGACTTAACCTGATTACTGAATTGACCCATTTTTTAAATATGTGCCATGCCTGAACAAAAACCCTCACCAAGGTTAGCATAAGTCAAGCTTCTTATGTTATGCAAATGCATCTTCACCTGACCTGAATTAAGATGGTTGCATAAACCTAGCCACAGACAGGGAAGGGGGTCATGAGAGAGAAAAGAAGGATGGGTTGAAGACGAGAACGAGAGAAGGAAGAGGAAAGAGTGGTGTGGATCCTTTCCACTTTTGATTCTGTTCACCTACTGCTGTCTTCGGTGATGATCTAATAGGGTACCTCTAGGGCAATGTTTCTCAACCTTGGGAACTCTAAGATGTGTGGACTTCAACTCCCAGAATTCCCCAGCCAGCCAGTTCATCTAAGTCCCCCCCCCCCGATTGTTCATTCCCCTAGGGCAGTGTTCCTCAACCTTGGCAGCTTTAAGATGTGTGGACTTCAACTCCCAGAATTCCCCAGCCAGCCAGTTCATCTAAGGCCCCCCCCCCCCCGATTGTTCATTCCCCTAGGGCAGTGTTCCTCAACCTTGGCAGCTTTAAAATGTGTTGGGAGTCCATCACCCCCACACTTCACCCCCCCCGCCCGCTCTGTGGGGTGGGGTGGGGGTG